CAGCGCTTTGCCAACAGCGCCAACCCACTAAAGTCTAGATTGCGGGGGGGGAGGGTTTCAGGTGGGGAGGAATAAATGCACCTCCTCGACCGATTTCGGTTATATATCACATGTACGTCCGGTCTGTATTCGCAAGCGCTGGCGTCAGCGGCGATTGCTGTCGCCTGCAATGTATTTTGTTTGCTCTGAATTAGAAAGACAACGGGTCTAGACTCTGCAAAGGGGTTTCTATGGCTCATGAGGGAGGTTTGTCTTGCTTCATTTTCGCCATGAGGTCGAGCAAATGCTGAGCGTTTTGCACGAAAAATCACGCATTTATTTTCTTTCTTCTGTTCTTTGTACATGCTTACCAGGAATATAAGCGCTGCACCAAATGGTGTTCTCAGCTAAATGTTATTGTTGACAGACTATGTTGTTTCCATGTGCTTCGTTTGTTCGTGCCTATGTTCTCTTTTGCACCAGGAGTTGCACCACCTGCAAGGCGTTTTCGATAATTTTCAGGCCACGTCGGCGGAGCGTGCGTACGACTCTTCAGAGCGGACCGCCTCCGCCTTCGTGCGGGAGAGGCAAAGGGCGTCGCTGCGCGCCGCCATCTGGCAATGGAGAGCAATCACCCTCAGGGTACGGGAAGACTACGTAGCGGCGCACAGAGTCGCGAAAGCCTGCGCCGCAAAAGCAGACGAGCAGTTTTACGTTCATCAAGTGGCCGCTCTCTTGTAGAACAGCAGTGGTGGGATATGCTTTCAGGCAAAACTGAAAGTGGAGCTCCGTCTGTTTTTCTGTGACAAGGTTTGGTTGAAATCGCTGCATGCTCAGCACCAGTTGCTCCGAGTGTCGATGTGATCCCCACCCTGAGAGGGCATCGAACAGAGGGTGGATGACAGCACGGTGTGAAGCCGACCTTGTGCATCGCGGCAACATTTGATGCCCTGTCACAAACGCCACGGCACCGTGGCGAGATTCACGTAAGGTCCGTTCTTCCGTTTCTGTTGCTGTTGTTGTTGATGTTGTGAGTTCTCGGGATGCCGATGCTCTCGTGGTCTCAGCCTTTGCAGGCGTCGGTAAGGGGGCTACAAAGGTCGGCCGCTAGAAAGCAAAGCGAAGACGTGCGTGATATTCCCGGCGGTGTGGCTCTACATAATTCACATGGTGTTGTTTCTACACTCCTCCCCTTTGCACGCCCTGGTTTGCACGCTGTATGTACCCCTGCCGTGCTTGGATCTCGCGAACGCGAATGAATGGTGCGCGAACAGTCGGAATTGGGGACGGCGATGATGCTGGCGGATAGGCTCAAGCTCCGGCAAGCGAAGGTAAATGAGGGAGGCGGGAAGAAGCTGAGGAGACCAAGTATTATCGAAGCGTTGGGTAGGACGTGCGTTCAACATTTTCATCCCATGTGCGATGTTCTCTTCACCGGCCTAAAACCCTCTTCCTTACACATTCTTGTAGAGCCGGGGTCACTGAAAGCGCCCCTCCCCCTGACGCTCCTCGTCCGATGCGCGCCTGTTGTGTTGGAGCTCTTGTGGCATGAAGCGTTTCGAGAACGATGCAACACGTGCTCGACTCCTGCCCACGTTGCCGTGATTTCTTACAGCAAAGACTTGGCCTACGACGGCTGTCTCGTGATCTAGACGAACGTTCACGACTTTGCACAGGGCCACCTGCATGGCCCTCTCGTGGCCCTTGGACACACGAGTACCCATGCAAGAGTGCGCACGAGGTTACCCACCCCCCGCGGGTCCAGCCACCGGTACATGGGACACGAGGAGAGCAGCCTACTCCCTCTTCCACGCACGCTCCTCGGGAATACAATGGCCTTTTTCGTTCCTCCTGCTTCCTCCTTCTGATCCTCATGTCGACTCCCCACCTCCCCCGCCGTTGTTGTGTCTGCGTGAGCGAATTTTCATTCCAGAGTGGTGCGTTCGGCGCCTGGTTGAACCTTTGCCGGCGACGCTCGCACGCTCGGGCGCTGATGTCAAGGCTGCTCCATCGGTGAGTTTATTTTCTTCTTGTCATTTTTTTGTTTGCGCTCCTTCTGTTCGATTCATTTTTCTGTTTTGTTTCGAAGTGCTCAAATTGACTACTTTGTAGCCGTCGCGATTCGAAATCCATGTCGTTGCCTAACTGCCTCCCCCCCCCCCCTCAAATGAACGCATACATGAAACGTTCCGTTCACGATGGTCCCGAAACACACACAAAAAAAATCGAAAAAAAGGAAAACGGCGATCGATCAGCGTAGAACTCTGCGCCACTGGGCCCGACAAGCCGCCGCTGCTGCCGCCGCCGCCGAGTCGGCCGCTCTGGCTAGGGCAGAGGCCGAAGGGGTCAGACTGAACGCCGCGGCGGTGCTCACGGAGGCGTTGTCCCGCGGGCGGCGGCGGAGCTTGGAGCGGGGAGTTGGCAAGCTTCGGGATGGGGTTGAGGCGTCTCTGATGAAGGTGACACGTGTTGTTTTTGGTGGTGATCTGGTTGGATTGCCCCACGGCCGTTGTCGCTGTTATTGTTTTTGGTGGTGGGCAGCGCAACGAAGACAAGGACGACATGAGAATCCGTCGCAGGATGCTTACACGCGGCTGCACTTCGTGGTTGGTCATTTATTTTTCTCTTGGTCGGGTAAATTAGTGGTGGGGGTAGGAGGATGTAGCGATGCCGTGGCGGGGCCACGTTTCTGTCGACATACACACCACCTTTGGACAATACCAAAGGCTTGCGTTTTGTGCCCCACCCCCGCCGCCACATCGAGCACGCGCGCACCCGTAAAATATACACCCGGCAGACCAGACGTCTCTTCCCCTTCTTCCTGTATCGGCCCGCCTCTTCCCTCTCCTTGGTCGGCATATTCTCACCCGTCGCCGTCCTCGTAGTCGCCGTAGCCTAACCGTTGCCGCCGCCCCCCCCCATAAATCACAAATATCCATTTTTCATCTACCCATGCCCGGACCACGCCCCCTCCCCCCCCCCCCCCCCCCCCCCCCCCCCCCCCCCCCCCCC